TTAAGAGACAAATTCTTGATGCATAATGGTGAGAATAATGATCCTAACGGTAGAGTGCACAATCATATAATAAAAAGAAGAGATCAAAAAAGACAAATGGCAGAGTAGACACGGTATATTGCAGTGAAAGTCAGTTACATGTGTTGAGAAAATTAAGGTGTGTGAACCTACTTGTTTCTTATGATCAGACGGAAGTTTTTCGATTTTGTTAGGCGCAACAGACTAATCATATAACAATAAATGAACAAAGAATTGTACGAAGTTGGGGGGCGTTAAAAAAATGAAAGCTGTCTGAGTTTACGTGGGCCTCCAAAGTGTAATAAAGGATATACTAAGGTTTTACAACCGGACATTTCAAGTCCTATCCATTTCATTCTAATTTACATCATATTCAGTTTATGGATGAGCCTTTTGGTTCGAACCTAAGGGTCTATATAAGCTTGTAACGGGAGTTTTCGGTAGTATAATAAAGCAACAAGAGCAGAAAAATTGGTTCTCTTAGGTAAGTAGTGTCAACATCAGTGATCAATTACGTCACCATCAAAGACCCTTAGAAAGCTGAATCTTTTTCTGAACAGACAAAGGTGATTTGAAATCATTTCGTAACCATAGTATTTGATGGTTAGAAACACCACTCTCTCCTTTTGCCATCTTAGACCCTTACGGTTTCAGTGTATATTGGTAGTGCATTAACTTCAGCTCAATGTTGAATACCTTGTTGGATTACGTTATTACTACAAGTGCCATTTAAACATAAAAATTAGGCGGCTAGAGTTTCTGTATTGAGGGTTATGCATAGATTTGGTGAATCACACTGCAATTATGTTGACAAATGTCACGATTTATGAGATACTGATCAAATTATTTGCCGTTCAGAGGCCGCATAGATGGGCAGCTAATCAAAGACCATAAAAGAAAAAGGCATAAGATTTAAATTCCACGGGTGAAGACATAGGTCTATAAGAAGTGCTAATAAATTTGAGACATCAGAAGGAACTAATAGTTGTTCAAGGCAGTTTCAGCTTCTCGTAATCGGCTGCATTTAGGCACCATTCAAATACTGCTTGGATTTTCTGTCTACTTGAAATAAAAACTAGGAAAAAGATGTGCCTTTCACAGTTTCAAAGATAATAAACATTCCAAATTCCATAAAATTATCATAATTCACACTTGCCGTGGTTAAATGGTAACTACTACGTTTCACTCCGGATAGATGGTGTAAATCGCCAGCGCAGATGATCTGTGTCGAATGATTGGAGGCCTAATCGTCTTAGACGGGAATGGTGTGACAAACCAGCTGACGTCGTAGTCACACCTCACAATCAGCACCTTATATGGATTGCCCCATCGACGTATCAAGGTACTATAGATGCATTGAAGACTGTACAACACAAAGGACGTTATTACAGAAATACATTGGTTTAAGCAGATACAAGCGAAAGTAAGACCGCCAACACATGGCCCAGTCCATGGCGTACGATTAACTGATGTGCGTTGGTCGTCCTTGAACTTGACAGTGATAGACTATCGGTTCGATATTCAGTGACCCAAATGCCTGATGATTTGGTTAGGGCTTGGTGACGTTTCACTGGCCCTACAATAGGGTATCAAAGTCGTCTATAATCTCGATAGGTAATCACGACCATGTTTAACGAGAAGCCTCTGATGTGAGTCTTCATCAAAAACCCTCTTGAAGTGGAAGAAAAGAACTAAAACGAGGGAATTGTTGTATCGTTGTTTATTTGTGCCATTCGGGTAATCAGGTAGGCATGTATCTCATAGCTAAGCCGTATAGTTATTCGTTCTTTACAAAATTTGATTGTTCGATTTCGCAACAGTTATACTCGTCTCCAGTTATTCTGTTAAACATCGAGGAGTCATTATAGGCTTCATACCATGACTATCTACGTGACTGTCTTCCTTACACGTATGGCCTGTGTACTGCAAAATATTTCTGTCATCATAACTGAAGACGAAGTGTCACTGAGTCTATGAGACTAGGTAACATCTGTTCAAGACAGTATATAATAGCCTTTAGATGTCCTAGGTTTTCAGTTGGCGTAGGGTAAAGCTTTTTTCAAAATACTGTCAGTGTTGTAATATTAAACGTTGATTAGTTTATCGGCAGTATTTTCCGCAAGATGTACAGATCAATGATTTTCATTTTCACTAACAGAGTCAAAAACCAAGCCGAACTTCATTATCACAAACTTCTGACGTTAACCATCTTTCTGATATGGTAATGAAATCATGAGATCTTAACCAGATTAAATCTTTTGGGCTCCACCATTTTTTTCTAGCTTCTTGATAGCTCTTGTGTTACTAACATTTAGTTCAGCGAAATACTTGCGCTACCATATTGTACTGGCGAACAGTAAAAGCCCTATCTACAAACCATTCAACTGGGATCACTACCGCCAAAATTCTTCCCCATCATCCCCAAATACTCCGTGGTAGCACTCAGATTGCTTTAGAAATCGTTTCATAAAGTCTTAGGTGCATGGTTCTTCAGAAAGACTACGTATTTGAATGTTATGTATATTCTGTGTCAGACAACGCCTTTGTTCGTGACATCTTGTTACTGAATGATCCTAAATCTAGTCAAACGAGAAGTCAGAAATGATGAAGTTTAAGGATATATTTTTAGGATAGTCGATGTGTTAAGAATTATATGAGCTAAGCTTACTGGAGAAAGACGAGTAACACGACATCCCTAGTGGTTATCTGGTGGATATTCCCGACACAGCCTTTTCCACCAGGGCAATCGCATGTGCGGCCAAAATTTTTTAGATTCAGCCAGCTTAGGTGAGGTTTACAATAGTAGATTCTTCTTGTAAGTCACTGATGTAGATGATCTGTGTCGAATGATTGGAAGCCTACTCGATTAAGTCGGGGACATTGTGAACAACCAGCCAACGTCAAAGTCACCCTTTCGTCGTAATCAGTTACTGTGGCTACTTTGATGACCGTGCAACGCAAACGACGTTATTACCCAGATATATTAGTAAGAGTAAGTACAAGGAACTGAGTTCTTTCACCACCTCATAAACCAACACATGACGTGCGACTAATTGATGCCCGTTGGTTGCCCCTGATCTTGATGAGGATCAATGAAGTGTTCGACGGTCAGTGACTCGACTGCCGGATGATTTGTTTAGAGCTCAGTGACATTTAACTACAACAATCCGTCACCAGATTCAACGGCCATTTGAATCGGTAATCAAACGATGAAAAAGAATCCTCCGTGAATTGCTGAGTTGTAAGACAAATTTCAAGTAAGATGCTTCAACTGATCTAGAAATAGCGAGTAATAATAAATCTGGGAATGTTGAATTCTTTGATGCTTAAATGTATGGCCTACAAGTTGGCTTAATGTTAAGCAATTAAGCATGAGGAAGATAAAAGAATTATACAACGTTAAAGTTTTACCAAGCAGTATTAAAATACATTGTGCTGACAAGTGATTGAATTACTCAGATAAGCCATTTTTAGTTTACCTCAAGAGTAACGACACTAAGGTGGCACGACAAGTGCGTTATAAATTGACGTCGATGTCAGCTCTGTCATTGACTTAAGGTAGAAAGTCAGTGAACGTCGTTGACAGTTTGCTGTTCATAAGTGTCAAATTCTGGTTATATATATTTAGCGGATTAACTGAAGGTACTGAAACATAACCGAAAAAAGTGGTAATTTCGTCGCACGAAGTTATTGATCACTTACTAGTCAAATTTCTAAAACCTGGTGATTGCTTTTACAATTAGTTAGAGTCGTAGACTAAAAATTGAAAGTGAAAGAGGCAAAATAAGGCTGTCTCTATGGGATGGCAAACGGTGAATCCCGTATATTGCTTCAGTAACTGAACCGATAAATATCGAAGGGAACATAAGAAACGAAGTGCCATTCTGAACACATCTCAATGATATTGGTGTGAAACTCTGTCAGTGCTGGGATAGAGGCCACAATGTCGATTCCAGTTTGCGAGTTTCGATTATCTACGTAAACCTATGGTTCGCGTGAATGATTTTGTCGCCATATCACAAATTGAACCAGACAAGTTGTAAGTTCGGTGTGTGAATGTCAGACTGATATCACTTGTCGATTTCTCATCTGATACCAGACCACTGTTGTTCATGCCAGTAGTTTCATTGACGATTAGATAAAATGTAGAAATACTAATAGAAACAAAGGTTGAAAACTACTGCATATTAAAGTGATAATCAGACAAGAGGGTTGTGCTTCACTGACGATCATAAAATGGGTATAAACTAGGTATTTCGCAGTCACTGATTATATATATAGAGGAGAAGTCTAAGAGAGAAAGCTTTATTAAGAATAATCTTATGATTAAGTTTAACTCTTCACACCATCAAAACTAGTCTAAACTTACTAGGGTTTTGACCTTCAAATTTGTCTGGAACAACCCCAATATCTTAGACTGAAGATTTGCGTTTATTTTCCATTGTTATTGTATACTATCTGCCTGACCTTGAAGGTTGTTCACAGCCTCGAGTCTATGTGGCTTTTTAGTTCGTCCCAGTTTTCATTCTAGTTTACGTTAAGCTCGGTGCATTGCTGATAATTCTCGCTTGTTTTTGTCCCAGCAACTGTCCTGTTTTGTGATCCTCATTCATAGCTGATCCCTATTTCGTGCCGTTTCATGATTTACCAATTTCTTTTCCTCTTTTATTGTTAACATACCTAGGTTCCTGCCTGGAGGATTTCGTGATCCCCTGCTACTAGACACGGAAGCCTGTTAAGCGAAAGCTTCTTCTATTCCGTCCACAACCATTTGAACCATTTGAATTTGAATGCAGACATTTTTTCAGCCATAACAAGCAACAAATAACGAGGAATAAAGAGGAGATAAAGCGGACGAAAGTGTACACATAGTGCACAATTGTGCATTACAGACACCGAAGTAACTTAATATTTGCCCTATGTAACAATACAGATAACGCGTACATAGTTCTTTCTAAAATCTGAATACTGGACGTAATACTATGCCTCGAAATTACGAGTTTTCTGATTGTCTATACAATCCTACTTTACCTTGCATCTATTACCCAACATTCTTTAAGGTTTGATATCTTCATCTTACTTACTTTTAAAGTTATCTAAGTGCAATTCAACTCTGACTAATGCTTTAAGAGCAGCATTTGTACAGGTAGTAGAATTGCCATAGAAATCATTTTTTTACTGGTTCACAAAACTACGAACCAGTGACCTTGTAGGTGGAGAATCAATATCCAGGGTTTAGCGAACAGTTTATCATTCGCTTGTTACAGCGTCTTGGAGTTAATGATGATATAAATCTGCCAGAGACATACTCGGGAATCGCTGGTGTATACACCCAACGTCAGTTCTTATTTTTCAAGTTTTTTAAATGTATTTAGTATGTGGGGGCATGGAGAATCAAATGATTAATCGGATCAAGATTTCTGCTAACAATTTGAAGTTGTGTTTAAGTAAAATACCTGACGAGATATCTAGTAGTAATGGCTTTACCAACCTTATAAGGTACTTCATTTCCCTTACTAATTTTCAGAGAGATTACAGAGATAACAGATAAATTTTTGGAATCGTTGTACAGTCACAATAAACAGATTTTGCAACAAAGAGCGCTGTACAACCTTAGGATTGAGTTTATTCAATCATGCAAACAATTCAGCGAAACCTTGAAAACATATAACCGTGATAAAAAGTAAGTGATCGGGTCATGTTTTTGTCATGCTTTATTTTGGACGGGTGGGGTTCACGAAACCATTATATAACAGGGATACTCGTGCACTATTATTTGATTTATTTTTTAACCAGATTGTGAATGGAAGCTCTCCATGATTCAACACTATCAGTCGTACAATTGGATAATTTCGCGTGCAAAATCTAAAGTAATGCAAATATTTGACTTCATAGCAAAGTAGAAGAAGTTTACGTAAGCTTATAGTCATGTTATTCCAACGCTCCAGCTACCAATTCTGTCACAAAAAATTCGACTACAAAACCTACAGTGGTTTGCGTAGTCATACTTTTACTTTAATAATTTAATCCATATAAAATTAAGTACGGCTAACTAGTAAATCTAAAGTTCATCACTCAAAACTTTGTTGGTGTGATGATCCCAGCAGTAAACTCCCTTAGCTCGTAATTCATGTTTCGGATCGCTAGTTAGAAAAGAGTTTTACTTAATATAGATGTTAATCTGGTAGCTGTATGTCACATGAAGCGAAATATCGTATTAAATAATTTGTACTTATGATAACTTGGGCACTAATTTCCCTACCTATAAACACTAGGTAAAGTAAAATGATTTATCAAACTTATTTTCTAAATATTAAAAAAATAAGACCTGGATGTACCTGTAATTTGAAAACTATTAGCTAATCCCATAATGTAATCAAGCAGATACATTTTGCTGCACCAATTTTACGGTTCGAAACACAGCCTTTAAAGGTTAGCTCTCTTGTTAACCCTTACGCCTACAAATCGTTTTGCTACTGTTTCTTCTCTTTTGTTTTGTCAAGTTGTGACAAATATCGCTTATGTACAGTGAGTAGCTCCATAAATCAAAGTCAATCAACTGTGATTCGTATTTTGCATTTTCCAGGTCTACAGAAACTGCTATCATAACTGCACGACTAGCTAGTAAAACTGGTTGACTAAAATTGGTGGGTTATTTGATAATCTGCTCATGTAATTGACCTCTGAGTCCCTATCAGATGCGTATCAAAGAACAGATTCCCTGGATGATATCGAATTCTTACAAAATAAATAATGCCACTATTCATACTCAGTCAAATAACATCACTGAACTATTTATTAGATAAATGATGAGAAATGTAGGTTATAAAACACATCTGACTGTTTTCAAAAGTTCCCGTAATTTCGAAGATGGTTTTACTTTTAAGAATTACTATCCCATCAAGCTGCTAGACAATTAGAGACATTTGTCTTTACCGAATTTCTATTTTCTTAGAAAGTTAATTACTTTACAAAATCTTCCTTTGCAAATCTGACCAACACTTATCTCTCTGGAAATAATATCAGCCACACTTCGAAAGAAACAGATGAGACGACTTAACTTTGATAATAAAAACCCTAAACTTACCGAGATGGAATCACTGGTTTTATCAGTCTAGAAATAGGCTTTCCACTGGAAGTCTGAAACTACGTATTTGAATGAAGAGAAGAATGCATGGTGAATAATAGAGAATGGAAAATACATTTTTATCCCTTAAAATCTACTAAATGCGTAGTAGTATTCTGTTGTCTGTGATCAGAAGTACTAGGAAACAGTACTGGGTGTACAGTAAAACGAAAAGCCGTTGGGATTCACGTAGGGAAGCGAATTTAATCATTAGTTATATCAACAGATATTGAAGTATTGACAAAAAAGTTTTCGCATAAATTACTCAACTGATTGGTACACTAGTAAGAATGTAAAGGGTCGAAACGTTTGTGGGTATGAATAATTAAAACAAATGGATCTAATTTACTTGGGTATAACAATACGCTCAGCTTTTATAGCGGCATTGCATATTTCGTTAGTTTTGTCCCTTATTACAATCAGAAATATACGATCATTTTGTTGGCAACCTATTTGTTAGATTTTGTTTTGCTATAAGTAATGAGTAGTTATTTTGTTTGAAATTCTTTATCTAATGTATTGCGTTTGAACTGTCGTTTTCTTATCAGCCAAACCTCAGTTATCTCTCGAGCAAATCAACTAGTTCTGTGCACAAACACCATTCTTGATGCTCTTCGTTGTGATAAATGACAGTGTGATGACCAACCCGGTTTCAGCCTAGTTGAACACTTCAGAAATGTAAGGAATCTCATACGGTTTTCAAAGCCATCTGAAGTTTTACTTCAAATTTCAAAACAACGTAAAAGCGGGTTGGTCAAGAAAACAATATTTAAAATAACGCAAAATATATTCTCTGTATTTTTATCTCTTTCTAAACCGATTTTTCGATTTTTTATTATTGCTCTCCCTCTATTATTTTTGTGGTTTGTAATTTTCCCGAATGGGATAATTTCGTTTTATAATTCTCTCTCACTTCTATTTGCACACGAGGAATGGAGGTAAAATCTTTGGTCATGGTCAAGATAATTAAATATAATGCATTTTGTTTGAAACGTAATAATGCATTACCTAGTGGTTGTTGTGTCTCCATAGTTTTGATAAATGCTTCATGCGCTTTCAACCTGTTTATATTAGTAACCTGACTTAAAGCCCCTACTAAGTTTTTGTGGTTTATGAAACTTCAAAGTCATTCATTGCACTCTATAACTTTCCACTTGTTCTTTTAAATTAAAATATCAACAATATTCGAAAGAGAGTTATTCATTTTTATTTTTAATAATAAGTGCAGAATTACTGACTGACTCAAGATGTTAATCATACACCATAAAATTCGACCGTATTTAACTATTTTAGTTATTGGGAATTTCAATATGATATTCGACCATATTCTGACTATTTCAATTATTGATTATTTCAATATAATATTTGGGTGCATTTTGACAATATCTGTTATGTATTCATTCAGTATGATATTCATGTAAGTACTAGTTCTCTTAATATAATGTCATTAATTCTTTGATAGTATCATTTCCTCTAAATGTACTAATGTCTTTGAATACCAATTGACAACTAAAGTGTTTGGCAATAGAAAATTTCTCCTCAAGATGTGCCTTTAAGTAGTTTTTGTGTTCCTTGGAAAGTTGTCCATGTTCATAGGTGACTTATTTAGTGGTGGTTGTTTTCAGTCATTAAAATAAAGTCCAAGGTTTAAGGTAATAGAACTTGTGAATAGCAAATGTTATTGGTAATCATTTGATTTTCCAATGTTTATGATTTTAAAGATAGTCGTGAATTCTTACGGGTCTTTCTCGTACCTAGATACTTTATTATGAAATCAAATTGTTCGAAATTTATAGTTCTTTTGGATAGCTGACCAGATGCAAAGTCTTGAACACCTTCGTTGACTATACACAAACGTTATGAGCCGTAATTACATTAAAAGTTTTATTTCTATTACACAAAACCACTACTTATTTTTTCGCATGGTTCTGTAGAATTTATTGCTTGTTTAAACTCGCACCACAATTTGTATTCTTATTAGGACAGGTAAATTACACAGGTGCGTGTAGTAAATAGAGCATCAGTCAGTCATCTATCAGTCCCATATATGCACTGGCCTAAGTTGCCACACCTCATTAGTACAACAAGATGAACACCAAATTCATAGTAGTTACTTCAAGGGTAGTAATATATAAAAAGAGATTGCATATAGGGATATGATACAGGAAGAAAAAATTAGTTCCTAGAAAAAAGGTATTAAGCAATTTTAATCTCACGTTTTAAGGGAAAACATAGAGTGTATACACCGACGGCATTGTGATCGATTCCGATCCATGTCACCCAGAGTCTCCAACCATTGGTTACGATAGTCACGCGGACTCCTACCAAGTAGTCTGCATCTACCAATATGGCTCAGATCAGAAGTTAGTGACTTCAAGCACTGATGCCACGTTTTGGTTTGGCCGCCCCTCACATTCTTCCAACCGTTCCCAACACTAGTCAGCATTGCGCGTCGTGGTAATCGGTGTTTAGGCATACGCAACACGTGACACAACCATCTCAGTCGATGAAGATTTACAACCTCATCAACTGACTTACCATCACTCCCTGATACCCTACGTCTAACCTCACTATCACTGACACGATGATCGCAGCAGATGCGAGCAATATTTCTAAGACGCCTGTGACCAAAAACGTGTATACTCTACCCTCAATGGCCACGTTTCACAGCTGTAATAGAGTATATTCCAACTAAGATAATAATTGACTAAAAGCAAGACTAATTTTCGAAAAATGCTACGGCTGAACAATGAAAACATTCAAACGCACTAAATGAGAGCTATAGTGACTAGACTGTGAGTCATTAGATTATTGTTCTTACTTACTGACTCCTATTACCCCTCATGTAGGAGCATAGGCCGCCCACCAGCACTCTCCATCCATCCTTCACCTGGGCAGTCCTTTCCAGTTGTGCGCAGCTGCTATTCATCCTTTTCATGTCTGCTTCAGATTCTCGGTGCAATGCGTTCTTCTGTCTTCCTCTTTTCCGTTTCCATTCAGGATTCCAAGTTGCTTCGCGATGCAGTTTTATGGTTTCCGCTGTGTACATCCTTCCCATCTCTAGAGTCTTTTTGTAATTTCCTTTTCAGCTGGAACCTGGTTTGTTCTCTCTCACAGAAGATTATTTCTGATGGTATCGGGCCAACGGACATTCAGTATCTTTGGGGTAGACAATTGTATATAAATACTTGCACTTTTTTGTTTATGGTCGTATTAGTTCTCCGAGTTTCATCTCCGTATAGTGGAACTGTTCTGACGTCCGTATTGGAAATTCTGACCTCGATATTGGTTGGCAATTGTTTTTAGTTCTATATATTCTTCAACTGTAGGAGTGCGACCCTTGCTATCTCGACTCTCTTCTTTACATCTGAATCATATCCTCCTTGTTCATCTGTGATGCTGTCCAGGCACCTGAACGTTCCCACCTCTTCCAGAGTCTTACCATCAAATGTGATTGGGTTGGTGTTCTTCATGTTGTATTTGAGGATCTTGCTTTTTTCCTTCTGTATGTTGAAGCCTACTGTTGCAGAGGCTACTGCTACACTGGCTGTCTTCACCTGCATTTGTTGCTGTGTATGGGATAGAAGAGCTAGGTCATCTTCGAAAGATTGTTTGTAATATAAAGTCAAATGAAATGTTGGGATGACTAATATGAAGTGTTAACTTGAATCAGTTTATAAGCGAAATGAAATTGTGAGATAAATTATCAGAATAAATATGGTCAACATGGGGTAAGAGAGAAAATATTGTGATTACAAATAGGAAATTACGTTATATGTAAAATAATTAGGTCAGATATAGTAGATTCAGGGGTGGATATTGAATAAATTCCTCAAAAAGAGGTTATCAAGTGTAAAGACAATAATAGTAATAATAATAATAAGTTTGGGACATAAAATGAACATTATTCAGATTACGTCACCACATTATATAATTGAATATTAGCTAGTTGGCCAGGGTAAAAGGAGTGGCTGAACATAATCGTTTTGGATACAAAATCAGTCAGTCAGTCAGTAACAACGTAGAACTTCGTACGTACGTATATCAGTTCGAGGTGCCACACCACCTTAGCACAGAGATGCAGTTGTCGATTCTAATCCCGTAGTGGTAGAGTTAGTAAGAGTATAAGCAGTAATCGGGAAGATTAGGGTTTGGAGATGTTATTTAAAGAGCATAATCAAGTGAAATAAATTTGGAAAGAGGAAAATAGAGACAAGGAAGATTTAGGAGATTAGAATTTGTTAGAAGACAAAGAGTGGATGCACCTGCGCCATTGCAAACGATTTTGAGCCATGTCATTCAGGGTCTCTAACCATCGGTTGCTATCATCTCACGGTCCCTAACCAGGTAGTCTACACCTACCAACATGACTCAGTCCACTTGTCAGTGATTTCATGGACTTGTGCCATGTTTAGGTTTAGCCGCCTCTAGCTTTCTTCCAACGTACTCCTATACCATTGAACATAGCACGTCGAGGCAGTCGGTAGTTGGGCATACGCAACACGTGTCCCAGCCATCTCAACTGATGAAGTTTCACTACTTCATCAATTGATTTGCCATCCTCACCTAGTACCCGTTTCCTAACAACTGTATTACTTACTCGATGGTCACAGGATATGCGAGCAATATTTCGAAGACACCTGTGATCGAATACTAGCAACCTACGAATATCCTCTACTCTTACCGGCCATGTTTCACTGCCATAAAGTAGGACGGAACGAACTGCTGCGCAGTAAACACGTCCTTTGGTTGATAGACGGATATCTCGCCTACGCCATAAATGACGCAAGTTGGCAAAAGCTAGTCGAGCCTTCTGTATCCGTGCTGAGATTTCGTCACACACCAGACCACAAGGGCTGATCAGACTTCCAAGGTAAGTGAAGCGGTCGACACACTCAACTACTTCACTCCCTATCACTAGTTCAGGTGTCGATGTAACCCAATCCTGAAGCAACATTTTGCATTTCGAGGGAGAGAATCGCATGCTGAACATGCTTGCATTGTTGCTTAGAGTGGTCAGAAGACTCTACATTTTGTCAGCGTCTTCACCAAATAAAACTATATCATCGGCATATTTTAGGTCAACAAGTAGGTCTCCCGGTAGAAGTTCAACCCCTAGAAATTTAGATAAGGAAAGTGTTATCTCTAAAAGTACGTCAACGACAAAGTTGGACAAGAATGGAGAGAGTGGACAGCCCTGACAAACACCACTTGAGGCAATCAATTCTGATGACAGTTCGCCATAAGCTCTCACTCTATCAGTTGTGTTCGAGTAGAGAGCCTTTACAAGGTTAATGTACTTCTTTGGTACACCTTTCAGTGACAAACACTGCCATAGAACCTTACGATCAACCGAGTCGAATGCTGCCTTAAGGTCGAGAAATACTACCATTGTGGGGCGTCTGAATGTGTGTCTGTGTTCTAGAACCTGACATAGTGTGAATATCTGATCTATACAACCACGTCCAGGTCGAAAACCAGCCTGATTTTCTCTAGTCTGTTCTTCACGAGCTTTGGTTAGGCGTCGAAGTATTATTGAAGCTAACATTTTAGACACTATATCAGTCAAACTGGTTCCTCTATGATTGTCACAAGAGGACTTTTGTCCTTTCTGATAGACTGACACAATC